CATTGACTACACAAAGACACACTCTGCATTCACTATACATCCACACTACATCCACACACTGTATTCACTAAACACTACACACACACTACGTAAACACACACTCTGCATTCACTATACACATCACATTTAAACACTACATTCACTACACAAACACACACACTCTGCATTCACTATAAACACACACTACATCCACTACACAAACACACACTGTGCATCTAATATACACCTCATACATTACACAAATGTACAATCTGCATCCACTATACACGCTGCATCTGTTAAACACACAGTATATTTCAAGTGTGCTGGGCCCCCTGAAGAATACAGGTAGCAGGGGGCTGCCACATGCCTCAGAACCTCCGGCTCCAGTCACTGTGATCTCCCCCCTTCATGGCCACAGGTGAGATACAGGGAGGGGGGAATAAAACATTACAATTAATGGAGGGGAAAAAATACTATAGGCTTTTCCCCTACATTTTGCAGCCCCATACATTTACACACACTATACACCATGGGCGTCCACAGGAATTTTTCCGGGGGGAGCATAATTGTAATGACATCCATGCTTGGTACCTTTTTGACAGTGTCATGAAAGGGAAGGGGCATAGGCACTAACATATACACACACTGTACACTAACATTTACACAAACTATACACTAACATTTACACACACTATTCACTAAAATTTACACACACTACATCCTTACACAAACATACACTCTGCAGTCACTACACACACTACATCCTTACACAAACACACTCTCTGGAGTCACTACACAAACACACACACACACTCTGCAGTCACTACACACACTACATGCTTACACAAACACACACTCTGTAGTCACTACACACACTACTTCCTTACACAAACATACACTCTGCGGTCACTACACACACTACATCCTTACACAAACACACACTCTGGAGTCACTACACAAACACACACTTTGCAGTCACTACACACACTACATCCACTACACAAACACACAGTCTGCAGTCACTATACACACATTCAATACTTACACAAACACACACTATGTAGTCACTATACACACACACTACATTGACTACACAAAGACACACTCTGCATTCACTATACATCCACACTACATCCACACACTGTATTCACTAAACACTACACACACACTACGTAAACACACACTCTGCATTCACTATACACATCACATTTAAACACTACATTCACTACACAAACACACACACTCTGCATTCACTATAAACACACACTACATCCACTACACAAACACACACTGTGCATCTAATATACACCTCATACATTACACAAATGTACAATCTGCATCCACTATACACGCTGCATCTGTTAAACACACACTGCATCCACTTTACACATGAACCCTGCATCCACTACACACGTTCTACATCAAACACACACTCTGTAGTCACTACACACACTACTTCCTTACACAAACATACACTCTGCGGTCACTACACACACTACATCCTTACACAAACACACACTCTGGAGTCACTACACACCAGAATTAGTACAGACACTGCATACCTGTGGGCGGACTCAGGGGGGAGGCAGCACTTTGGGCGGACTCAGGTGCAGGCACCGTGGGGCCCAGACCTTTAGCTGTGTCAGGGGCCCCAAAATGTCTGATGGCAGCCCTGAGTATGTGTATGTATGTCTCTGTATGCCCTGTTTATATGTCTCTGTATGACTGTCTGCGTATGTATGTCTCTATATCGCTGTGTATGTATGTCTCTATATGCCTATCTGTATGTCTCTTTATGTCTGTGTCTGTATTTCTCTGTGTGCCTGTGTCTGTATGACAGTGTACCTGTATGTGTAGATTGTATGACTGTGTTTGTTTGATTGTGTGCCTTTTATGACTGTGTGTCTGTATATCTTTGTGACTGTGTGCCTGAATAACTATGTCTGTGTGCTTGTATCGTTCTGTGTCTGTATATTTTTGTTTTTGTGCATATATGTATTTTGCCTGGATCTATGTCTATATGGGAGAAAGAGAAATAGATAGGGGCTGGGGCGAGGAGGGGCAAGAGAGATAGGGGCAGGTGGGGAAGTAAGAAATACATAAGAGGGGTTGTAAGACACACACTAAAGGGGGGTGTAAGAGACACAAAGGGGCAAAAGCGGCAAGACATTTAAGAGAGGGGATATGAAACACTAGTGGGGGTAAGAAATTCAAAAGGGGGCTATGAGACACAGAGGTGAAGATGCATATTTTGGCGGGGTAGGGGGGTGGCAAAATGCATCTTTGCCTGTGTAGTCAAAAATCCTTGCACTGGTCCTGGTGTAACAGTTAACTTGCTGTTGATGTTAATACAGAGTGAGATGAGAGCATTTATTGTGTAAGTGGAATGGATTAGTTGCTGAATTGATTGGTTGTCTTCCTTGGCCAAAAAGCAGGGAAGTGCTTTCCAGAGGGCTGGTGTCTCACAAGATACCTCCTGCAGTCTAGCATGGGAGAGAGGGGTGGTAACAGAAGAGGCAAGGAGCAGGTCATTGTTGGATCTTAGTGGGATGGCTGGCGTATATTTGTTGATTAGCGAGGACAGACAATGTGAAGTGGCTTTAGTAATGGAATTGTAGGGAGATTATGTATTTAAGTCTGCTTGAATAGGGAGCTATTGAAGGTGCAGGAGATATGAGCGATGGTGGATAAGCCTAGTAAAGGTGTTTAGGGTGGACTGAAGGGGGGATAGGCAGGAGAGAGAAAGGTCAGTTTGTAGGTTATTGCAGTAGCTGAGACAAGAAATAACAAAATAGTGGATGAGTTGCTTAGTGGTGTCAGCACTCAGAAACTGACACATTTTGGAAATATTGATTAGGTGGTTGCGGCTAGGTGAAGAAAATAATTGGATGTGGGGGATGAAAGACAGACTGAGATAAAGTGTAATTCAGAGGGAGTAGACTTGGAGTGATGGGGAAAAAAGATGTCAACAGTGACAGAAAAATCAGAGTTGAGCTAGACTGGCTTTTTTAGAAGGAGTACAGTACTACAGTACTATAATTTGGATGGGCCTGTAAAATAACAGGGGTGTGGGACACACACACATACACACACATTGAGCATTGTGTGGGGGAGATTATAAAAAACTAATGGGGTGGTGGACTGAGCAGCAGGTGGGGTCCTAATTATATAATCCTCCTCTAGGCCCCACCCATTGGTGGTAGTTGGGGACCCTAATTATAATAATAATAATAATAATAATAATAATAATAATAATAACAATAATAATAAAAATAATAATAATAAAAAAGGTGTTGGACCTATTGTCCAGCCCCACCTATGGGCTAGTGTGTAAAATGTCTAGATTTTAAAGTCACAATGATGGCTTTAGAGAATAACCCCATGGGTTTTGTTTTGATTCAGAAGTTGGAAAACTGCATACATTCAAGGGATTAAATAGTTTATTTAGGGATTTTGTAAGAATGAAGTTAATACCAAAATTAATTTTTTGTTTAACCTGGTAGCATTCAATGTCATCTGGCAGTTTAGGACTTTATCACCCAAAGGACAACATGGAACATTCTGCCTCCTAAGTACTAGTGATCAGTGCTGAGATGTGCATGCTGTCCAGAACCAAACACTGTGTTATTGGTAGGGAGAACATGAGAAACAGGAGCTAAGAGAGATATATTCTGTCATATGTTGTAATGACACAGTAAAGAGCAATCACAGAGCACTTTGCATTATGAAACCAGGAGAAATCACTCCTGGTGCCAGCAGTGAAATCAGCTAAGACAATCCCTCTGCTTTAGGGTTAGAGTTGGTGTATAGTTGGGATTCATTGGTCTGCCGATGCAATCGTGTTTATAGCTATCTGTTTGTGGAGATGTAGAGGTGCTTGGATGAGAGACAATTTGAAGAAACACCATATGAAACATAAGACATCTCTTCTTGGAATCTCCTGGATTCAATGGAATACATTGCGTGACCTTTGCCAGTAATTCTAAGGAGGACTATCAAGCATCAGTATGATGATACAGACAGTGTGGTGTCACCAAATAGTGTCTCTAGGAAGCAAGCACAGAGGGTTCAAAATTAATGTTATGTCTGTTATTTCACCCTGTAAGATCCACACAAAAAAAAGAGGTATGGGTAAATTAGGCATACACGTGTGGCATATCAATACTCAGTGGATGCAGGAGAATACGTTTGGAGTTTTTTAAAATGGTAGAACACACAAGGCCTGTGAAATTCACCAATAAATTGTGATATATATGAGAAAGAAAGAAAAAAAATTAATTTAACTATAAATTTGGTTGAAGTCAGTGATGAAACTGTCAAGTGTAAACGCACAAAATGTTTTATATTAAATTGCTAAATATGCATTTTTTTTTTAATGGTATGCCATAACTGGAATGCCTAAGTGACATGTGAACAGTCAATCAATCTGAAAAAAAAGGACATTTTAAAACTGAAATTGATAAGCCTGTAATTTGACCCTAACACTTCTTAAAAATCTGGAAGTAACAGAATACAGATCTTTATAGTAGTGGGCTGTGAAGCTTTTGATAAAAATGAAATGTATAAAAATAAAAAAATAAAGGAAATCGGTAGGTGGTCGGTAAAGAAAATGGTGTAATGAAAAGTGTCAAAATGTTCTTATATGCACTTTTTTTAAATCCTGTGCAACAAAACCAGAACAAAGTACCGTAAATGTTACACTTACTGTACTGTCTCCTAAATTTGTATCATAGGCCTCGATTTAAAAAGCTACCCAAAAGATTCAATGCTATCACAAACTTTCCAGGCGATTTATCTTCAAAAATCCCTATAGATTTTAATGGTGGCGTCTGTAGATAAATAATAAAAAAAAAAAAAATTATTTGAAGTTGGGGCCATAGTGCTTCACTACATAAACTAAAGCCAATATAAAACAATGTTGTGTAACGCATTATAGCACACCCAGAGCTAATGTTTCTATTCTTTTTTTCAGGTGCTGTACATGTCTAGGTTTGGCAAGTGAGGTTTCTGATTGAATCATGAGTGGTTCTCAGGCTATTACAGTCCTGCCCAATCTGGTATATGAAATGACTAATCAGACAGATGGAGACTGTATATTCAACGAGGAGTTTAAATTCTTGATGCTACCAATCACCTACTGTGCAGTGTTTGTGGTGGGACTGCCTCTCAACATAACCGCTATGTGGATCTTCATTGCAAAAATGCGACCGTGGAGTGCAACAACAGTTTATATGTTTAATCTTGCTTTGTCTGACATGCTGTATGTGTTATCATTGCCAACCCTGGTTTATTATTATGCTGATCGTAACAACTGGCCCTTTGAGGAGCCATTGTGTAAATTTGTCAGATTCCTCTTTTACACCAACTTATACTGTAGCATCCTCTTTCTTACTTGCATCAGTGTCCACCGATATATGGGAATATGTCACCCTCTACGCTCCCTGCAGAAGATAAAAGCCAAGCATGCCCGCATAGTGTGTACCTGCGTGTGGCTTGCAGTCAGTCTCTGCCTGGCCCCGAACCTTGTCTTTGTCACAATCAGCACCAGGGGTAATGACACACTTTGTCACGACACCACAAGTCCAGATAAGTTTGAAAATTATGTGGAATACAGCACAGCTGTTATGAGTCTATTGTTTGGGGTACCTTGCCTGGTGATTGCATGTTGCTATGGGCTTATGGCAAGAGAATTGATGAAACCACTAGTTCGAGGAAGCAAACAAACTCTACCTACATACAAGAAAAAATCCATCAGGACAATTGTGGTAGTCCTTATAGTGTTCACCATTTGCTTCTTGCCGTTCCACATCACACGGACTTTGTACTACTACGCCCGTGTTTTCAAGGCGGACTGTCAAATTCTTAATGTGGTTAATTTAACTTATAAGATCACACGTCCGTTGGCCAGCGTAAACAGCTGCATTGACCCAGTGCTCTATTTCCTTGGCAGTGACAGCTACCAAAGACAACTGGTAAAAGAAGTTACTAGAGTGTCAGGCACATTTAGGAGGGTTTTGGCTTCAGCCGGTTCAGGGTCCATTTTATGTGGGAGAGGAGACAGTCTAGCTGTCATTTCTGATGACACGCATACCATACGGAGTCTAGGAAGTGTACTGGGAGAAAGTGTTGCAACACACAGGGGAACAGACGAACATGCAGAAGAACAAGATAATGAAAATGTACAAGGAGTTAAAGAAAGTGATAAGCAGCGTATGAACAGCAGGAGGCAAGAGAAGTATAAGGAAGGAAAGAAACACATAGAACAAAAAGTAGTTGCTCCAAATAAAGTAGAATGCAGAACAGATTTAATAGATGAGATAGAAAGAAATGTAGATGCTCTAAAATTTAAAGAAACAGAAGCTACACATCGACTTAAAGGGAACCAGTCTCAAGAAGAGAAGAATTGTGAAATTGAATCTAAGAGGACTACAGGTAAATGGACTCTATGTATACGAGGAGATGCAGGGTTTGTGAGGGAGGGAAAATTAGAGGAAATACCTTGTGATGCCAGAGGCAGCTCTGCTTGGAATCTCCTGGATTCAATGGAATACAGTGAGCGACATTTACATGCCAATAATCCTAAGGAGGATCATCGTGGTAAAGAACGAATGTTATTGTCTATCCCAAATGTAATCAATTAAAACAACTAAAGTTCTGTGTCATCAACTCATCTTCTTTGAGTGGAGAAGAAGAGTAACTTGAGCCTGCATTGTAGGCTATAATTAAACCATACGAGGCTCCAGCACAATAGCACTCAATGTTGCTGATGTGTATCTTCCTACCAAAGAATAGCAGTTCTGAAAGTGAGCTGCCTGCATTATGCTCTCATCCTGCAACTTTGTTTGGGGCTGCGGACAATTGTTTTAAGGCAACACAAATTCATTTCTTTTTTTTTTATATTACCATCAGAGCTAAGTATGTGTATCTCCATCGCTCAATTTTAGATTTTTCTTCCATACCATGTTCATCATTTGTTAATGTCTATCGTTATTCTTCGCAATTTTCTTCTTTCTCCCTTTGCTTATCCTTTTCTACCTTTACTTCACTTTATTATTTCAATGTTCTATTTCTACTTCACAAATAACAAATAACACTCACTCACTCACGCTTATTCCATTTCCTATCCCTTGTTCCATACGGTGAGGAGTACGAGCTACATTTATTCTTTTTCTCTTTTTCATTTCCGCTTTCCCTACCTTCTTTCTTTCTCCTTTCCCCATCCTTTTATCCCCCTTTCTCTTTCCTTTCTTATTTTTCCTCTTGCTCTGCGTTGCCCTCTTAGCTATATTAATACTTATTTAGCCATGGACTCCATAGGGTGTTATATTTGTCCAGTGTTTGGTAATTCCAATAAAAGCCCTTTACCAATTCTCCTTGAGATTTTACTTGATTTCTAACCATATTCCAGCATATTTTATCTTTTGATTTCCAATTTTGTGCTATAGAAATTTTCACAGCTAAGAAGATTTGTATACTCATATATCTATCCTTAAATTAGAATTCTCCCAAATCCATATGTAACAATGCCCTTTTTGAAGTTGGAGCTATCTTTACTTTCAGTATCTCAGAAATATTATAAATAGTTTTCCAGACATCAGTTATCTGACTACATTCCCACCATACATGCAGATAACTACCATTTTGATACCCACGTCTCCAGCATAATATATTCTCTGTGCTCTTGAATTTTACTAATATGGTAGGTACTAAATACCATCTATAATTCAGTTTTAGATGTGTTTCTTGTAATGTTAAACAATGCGTGACTTTCCTAATATGCATAAGACTGTTTACCCATTCTTTACTTTCCAAAGTTACATGTAATTCATTTTGCCATGCTAATAACGCTCTTGGTATTGCCCCTTGTTTTAGGGAAAGCATTATTCTATGAATTATCTTAATTATACCTGCTTGAGGTTTATTATTAAAGATTTTGTTTAGATGATCATGTACTCCATTTTCATCCTCCCTCCCTATATAAGTGCGCTCTAACAGGGCTGCCATCAGAAATTTTGGGGCCCCTGACACAGCTCAAGGTCTGGGCGCCCAGGTCCCTGCACCCGAGTCCACCCAAAGTGCTGCCCCCCCTGAGTCCGCCCTCAGGGATGTAGTGTCTGTACTGATTCTGGTGTGTGTACAGTGGATGTAGAACGTGTGTAGTGGATGCAGAGTTCGTGTGTAAAGTGGATGCGGTGTGTGTTTAACGGATGCAGCGTGTATAGTGGATGCAGATTGTACATTTGTGTAATGAATGAGGTGTATATTAGATGCAGAGTGTGTGTTTGTGTAGTGGATGTAGTGTGTTTTTATAGTGAATGTAGTGTTTGTGTGTATTAAATGTGATGTGTATAGTGAATGCAGAGTGTGTGTTTGTGTAGTGGATGTAGTGTGTGTGTGTGTAGTGAATTCAGAGTGTGTGTAGTGGGTGTAGTGTTTACTGAATACAGTGTGTGGATGTAGTGTGTGTGTATAGTGAATGCAGAGTGTGTCTTTGTGTAGTCAATGAAGTGTGTGTGTATAGTGACTACATAGTGTGTGTTTGTGTAAGTATTTAATGTGTGTATAGTGACTGCAGACTGTGTGTTTGTGTAGTGGATGTAGTGTGTGTAGTGACTACAAAGTGTGTGTGTGTTAGGAAGTTGTGTGTAGTGACTGCAGAGTGTGTGTTTGTGTAAGGATGTAGTGTGTGTAGTGACTGCAGAGTGTATGTTTGTGTAAGGAAGTAGTGTGTGTAGTGACTGCAGAGTGTGTGTTTGTGTAAGGATGTAGTGTGTGTAGTGACTGCAGAGTGTGTGTTTGTGTAGTGGATGTAGTGTGTGTAGTGACTGCAGAGTGTGTGTGTTTCTGTAGTGACTCCAGTGTGTGTGTTTGTGTAAGGATGTAGTGTGTGTAGTGACTGCAGAGTGTATGTTTGTGTAAGTATGTAGTGTGTGTAAATGTTAGTGTATAGTTTGTGTAAATGTTAGTGTACAGTATTTGTAAATGTTAGTGTACAGTGTGTGTATATGTTAGTGTATAGTTTGTGTAAATGTTAGTGTTTAGTGTGTGTAAATGTTAGTGTATAGTTTGTGTAAATGTTAGTGTATAATGTGTGTAAATGTATGGGGCTGCAAAATGTAGGGGAAAAGCCTATAGTATTTTTCCCCCTCCATTAATTGTAATGTTTTATTCCCCCCTCCCTGTATCTCACCTGTGGCCATGGAGGGGGGGAGGTCACAGTGACTGGAGCCGGAGGTCCTGAGGCATGTGGCAGCCCCCCGCTACCTGTATTCTGCAGGGGGCCCAGCACACTTGAAATATACTGCCCAGATGCTCTGCTCTGTCGAAGTCTCGCGAGCCGTGCGGAGCGTTGCCATGGTAACCTGTGGCAATGCTCTGATGATCGCGCCGCTCGCGAGACTTCGACAGAGCAGAGCATCTGGGCACTATATTTCAAGTGTACTGGGCCCCTTGCAGAATACAGGTAGCGGGGGGCCCGCAGTGCACACATATATAGTTAATCGCTATATATGTGTGCACATATCTAATGTGGGGCCCGGGACGACCTGAGCAATCTGGGCCCCCCAGGACCACCGGGCCCATGACAACCATTATGGTCATATAAATCATATAAACTTTCTGTAATTTTGTATAGGAATTTTAAGGGGAATCATACATAAGCGATATAACCACATGGGGAATGCGTAAGCATTTATTATATTCCTCCTGCCCATCCACGAAACAAAAAGATGTTTCCATTCTGCCAAATTCTTTTCATATTCCTTAATTAAAGCAAGATAAAAAGTTCTCCAAATGTTTTCAACGTTGTCTGTTAAGATTATCCCCAAATATGTAATTCCTGCTTTATTCACCAAAAGCCTACATTGTCTTTGAATTTTATGTATAGTTTCTTCTTCTATTGCTATTGACATAATTTCGGATTTGTTTTTACTTATTTCATAGTTAGACAGGGAACTATATACATCTATCTCTTCAAACAAATAAGATAGTGATGTTTCTGGGGAACTAAGAGTCAACAACACGTCACCTGCATACATGGTTAGTTTGCACTCTATTGTGCCTATTGTTATGCCCTTAATATTTCTGTTGTTTCGTATAATATTAACAAGTGGTTCCAGAGACATGATGTAAAGTACTGAAGCTAAGGGGCATCCTTGTCTCGTACCGTTCTTAATATTCAGCTAATTTGAGCAGAATCTTGACCTACCACTGTAGCAGATGGAGATGCATACAAGGCCATGACAGAGTCAATTAGACTGTCCCCTAGATTAAATGTTCTCATAGTTTCTTGGAGAATCAGTCAATTGACCCTGTCAAGGGCCTTTTCTGCATTGATAGAGAACATTAACATTGGTTGATGTTTTTGTTTTGTATATTCAATTAGGTGCAATATCTTCCTTATGTTATGTAGTGGAGTTGTAGGTTAATCCACGGTATCTCCGCTGGTAGTCAGGGTTCACAGGTAGTGTAGTAATAATCCCTTTTTCCCAAGAACTAGACAACACATAGTTTGGGAGTCAACTGAGCCTTTATTCCAATGTCACCATATTTATACAAGTCCCCATGCAAGGGGTTTCCATACTGGCATTTCCCATCATACACTGCTGTATTGGAGAGATAATTGCGCAAGAATATACTGTTAATTACATTATCTCTCTGTACAGCAAAATATACAGTTTCACATAAAAAATGCATAACTGATACAATTTTACTCAGAATTAGCCGAATGACCCTTCATTGAATAGCTGGGATCTGAGCGCACCATCTGGTGAAATACCACTCAGATGCATTCACTAGAATAGCAAAGCTATTCGAATGTAGGGTTCATATGAACACACATTTCACTATACAGAGGAAGGTGGGCTGTTGGGACGGAAGCATTCGTGAGTTTAAAGTTTGTCGAACGGTGCTCTATTGGTACAAAAGGGTAAGGTGTATGAATGACATGGAAGTCCAGTGATGTTCGTGTGGTCGAGTAGCCTATTTTAGTTCCAGGCACTCAACGACCAAACACCGCTGGACTTTCGTGAGCAAAGATGGCCACCCGCAAAACCATTAATGATCTGCAGTTAAATTGTTGCCATTTCATTAATGAGAGACACACGACTCCCTTCTGTGGTCTCCCATTCGGTAGTTTTATTCATTTCACGAACAGTGTGCTCCAATACTATTCGTGAAACTAGCATTTGAATGCTCGCGGTTTCGTGCCGCTAGCATACGAATGCTCTCAATCTCAGACATAGAAGAAAATTGCAAAATTAACGTATTCACCCAGTCTTTAGTGTCCGGAAGTGGCTAGGTTTGCCACATGTTACTATTTGAATGGCGGGATCTCACAAACCCTGTTTGATCCGTTCCAATTATCAAGGGCAGAATTGTATTAATTCTCTCAGCCAGTATAGCCGAATATATCTAGGTATCCGAATTTATTAATGATATTGGTCTGTAGTTTGCTACCCCTGTGGAATCCTTATCTTCGGGATGGGCAGAATGAATGCTTGAAGCATCTCTTCTGGAAATCTTTTCATTTGTTTTATTTCGTTAAAAAGGTTCATCATATGAGAAGACAATATTTCGGATAGTTTCTTGTATAATATATTAGACATTCCATCCGGTCCTGGGGATTTGTTTGTTTTTACATTTTTCTAGCCTTTTTGACTTCTGTTATTTGAAAGGGAGCATCTAAGGTTTCTCTTTGTTCCTGCGGTAGTACCTAACTTAGTTATAGTTAAATACTCTTTAATTCTCTGTCTGCTTTGTTCTTGCTGGGGAATATTGTATAATCAATTGTAATAATTCTTAAATGCAGATCCAGTTTTATCTGGGGAACTGTAAACTTCATTATTATCTACTATATTAAAAATTCTAGATTTTAAATTCTGTTTCTTGACTTGATTAGTCAGCAATCTGTTAGGTCTATTATCCATATAGTACCTTTTTTGTTTCATTCTCAATAAGGTTTTATTTGCTTTATCTAATAGGTGTTTTCTAATCTCCTCTTTAAGCTGATTTCTTTTTGTTTTAGCCAAAGCAGATAAACTTGTACTGAATTCCCTTTTCAATTTTTACAATTGGATATACAAGTTCGGTAACGATTTGTAGTTCTTTTTTCTTTGATATGCAACTAACTTAATTATTTGCCCTCTGATTACAGATTTATAAGTACACCATACATTTGTGAGGCTTGTTTCCCCTGTCAAATTCTCTTTAAAAAAACATTCAGCTTGAAATAATGTTTCGATATTTTCTTCCCTTCTTAATAGATATTCCTTAAGCCTCCATGAGGGTAATACTTTTGAATATTTATTTTCTATCTCCATAACTACTAAATCATGATCCGACCATGTTACCGTTTGAATGTTAATCTTATTGCAGTCCCGTATATTTATATATTTAATCAATATCTTATCCAATCTTGAGTATGAGTTATGTCTTGATGAGTAAAAAGTATTTTGTTTTTCTAGTGGATTAAATATTCTCAATAAATGGTATAGTTTATATTTACCCAATGTTTCCTGAAATGCTCGAGCCAGCCCTCTGTAGTTTTCCCCTTTGGGATCCTTTTATCTAAGGTTGTATATGATACACAGTTAAAATCTCCCAAGCATACAAAGGTACCTTGGATAGTTGCATATCATTTCTCAAGAATTTTATTTTAAAAATGCACTTGTTTTTTATTGAGGGGATATATATTCAAAAAGGAGAAAATGTTATCATCCAATTTACAAATCAGGAAGAGATAGTGACTGTTTATCTGCCTGTTTAAAAATTAGCTTGTATTTTATGTTACTAGATATCATTATTGGCACACCCCTCTTTTTTCCTTTCTGTAAAGCTGTGTATTCAACATTTTGATATCCCTTGCTGATTAAGCATTTGTTATCCTGGACCACCAAAGGAGTCTCTTGAAGACAACATACATCTATTCTGTCTTTTTTCAACAGATCATATAGCATAATTCTTTTTTTGGGGTATGTTTAAGCCTTTTACATTAAGAGTAATCACCTTTAAGTTATTCATCTTTTGTCTTTCTTCATATATCTAACGCTTGCACATTCATCTCCCTAAAAGAGGTTTGAAAAAAAACCACACACACACAACAAGCATACAAACTTACAGAGCCTGATTTAAAATACTTAAGTCCTCTCAACTTCTGATTAGGAGTCACATATTTATTATAGACTCTCCAACCAGAAAAAAGATGGACATGAGGAAGCCCCACATTTCCCATATACATCCAAAAATTTATAAGAATAGATTTTGCGGGTGCAAAATACTTTGTACAAATTTATCTGTTGTGGGAGAACCACCTAAGCGGAACCACCCCCCACCCAAAAAAAAACCCCTTTAACCCTTTCGAACATGTATGTGTAGGTACTACTCCACACTTTCTATGAGAGGAGGGCTTATATAATCCTAAAGTGTTTTCTATCTGTACGTCTCCTTCTCTCAAATTATTAAGGTTTCCCTGAACTAGCTTCACTGTTAAAGGGACACTATAGTCACCTGAACAACTTCAGCTTAATGAGGTTGTTCAGGTGAGAACTATAGCTCCCTGCAGCCTTTCTCTTGTAAACACTGTATTTTCTAAGAAAATACAGTGTTTACATTGAAAGCTAGGAACACCTCCAGTTGCAGTCACTCAGAGTGAACCAGAAGGACTTCGGAGTTGATCTGCTGTCAGCAGAGCACAGGGCAGCACTGTGCACAGCAACCTGTGATTCAGTATCTCCTCCCTCTGCATGCAGACACTGAACCTTCCTCAAAGAGATTCATTGATTCAATTCATCTCTATGAGGAGATGCTGATTGGCCAGGGCTATGTTTGAATCATGCTCCACTTTTAGTACTTTAGACCACTTTTTTGAACACAATAAACTTTGCTAGATTCTCCCTGTTATTTTAATGTTTCTTTTTTTTGAATGTTCATGTAGTGGGTGGTAACTCACATCCTTGCTCAGAGTGCCAGCTAGCTTGGTATAAGACTAATCCAGTCGAAAAAGTCATATAAAATGGAACAAGTTTTAAAAATACCGAGTTGTTCTGCATCTATCTAGCTAATATATCCAGCATTCACCACAAGCCTTTGTAAATCTAGGACTGGATTCTCTTAGTAGAGTGGGAGTTTAACCTGCCTAGTGCATAGCAATTCCTCCGTTGAAGCCTATGAGAAAATTGCTATAGTAAGCAGAGAAAGAAAAGAGGATCATAAGGACTACATTTTTGGGGGAGAATATAGCAATACAACAAAAAGAATGGGAAGGTTGCGCCCAATATTGTAATGAGAAATATATGCACAATGAGAAATAAAAGCAGACAAATAAATTTACAATATAAAAGACTCTAAATGAAATAATAAAAATGTCCAATACAATGTCTAAATAAATATGCAAATTTGCAAGGGGAACAGCCAAATTTTAGAGGGAAGTGTCTTCTTCCAGATCAATGGATGCTTGGGATCCGTGTAAACATATAGTAAGAAGTAAGAACTAAATTTCTTACACACTACTCCTGGTATTAGCTTATAAAAATCTTCTTATATACTACTCCGGGTCTTATCAAACATCAAATGATCTGGAAGAAGACACTTCCCTTCAGAATTTGTCTGTTCCCCTTGCAAGTTTGCATTTTTTGCACTATTTGGACATTTTTTTAGACATTTTTATTATTTTATTTATAGTCTTTTCTATTGTAAACTTAATATGTCTGGTTTTGTTTCTCATTCTGCATATATTTCCCATTAAAATATTTGGCGCAACCTTCCCTTCTTTTTGTTGTAGGGTAAACTCTTGCCCTGCTAATAGAAAGTCCAGCACCTAATGTGGAAATCCTGCAATATGCCACCTTACCAAATAAAGGCCAACTTAGGCATTCTTCAGCTTACATTTCACCACAACTATAGAACTGTATCTAAGAGAGACTATATTAGCTGCCATTATTGTGGAATTATATGCAGCTTTTCCACGGTTTACAAAATCTATATTCAGCATTATTGTATGCAATTGTAACATTGTGGACTTTTATTCTAAATATTGAACTCTAAGGGTAATATTGATATATGACAGAAAATATATGTCAAAATATAACACACGTGCTCCCCCAGAGGTAAAAATAAATAAAAATTATTTTACCAGATGTATGATTGTACATCTCAGATCTTCTCAATACAAATATAAAAAATACAATCTACAAAAAAGAATAAACATAGAGAGTATATAGTGTAGTAAATTCAAACACCAAATTGGGCACTAGTAAAATTGCACTCACAAGATGAGAGAGCAGTAAGGGCATATAACAGTCTTTGAATTTGACGGACAGCTGTGATCTTCTATTTTCACCTTAGAGAGGGAGAGACACACAAACCATAGTGTACCAGTATAGTAAGAAATAGTAATATTTATTTGATTGCACTCACACAATAATAGTTGTAATCCAGCTTGTCACAATACTTGGGGGATAGTGGTGCCGGCGGATGATAGAGGAGGTGATTTAATTAAGAAATTACGCCAAAGAGAAGGTTTTTGGATTTTTAATCTCAAGACTTTTAGCCCTATTGGGCTAAATGTCGATTTTGATATGGTGTGTTTTTTATAAATAAACCATTACATATATATTTTTTAATATATTTTTAAATTAATTTTTCATTTAATAATATTTTATTTAATAGTTTAAGTATGTATACTTTTTCATACTTCATATTTTTTATTTTTTTTTACATTTATATATTTATATTTATATTTTTATACTCACCATTATCATTCCAATGTGCCCTTCCTTTTTTATCTTTTATAATATATACTCCAAAAAGATTTTTTATATGAGGTTTTCGTATAAGATTTCCTCTGAATTTAGTATATTTGATCTCATCTTCTATTAATATTAATAACCATTTATGCTTGTAT